GCACATGTAGAACACAGGAGGGGTGAATACTTAAAGTAAATGAAAATGTTACTTTTAAAAATTACAATAAATATGTATAAATGTATATATGGTCTATTTCCCCCTGTCTGAACCTTCAGAAATTAACACAAAGTGCATATTTGGTGCCACAGGTGGTGTACAACCTTAACTTGAGTCATAAAAAAATATATACTGTGAACTTCCATAGGACATGAAATCCGTAAATGTGAAACAAAAATAGAGCACCCTAAAGAAGTCCTAGCTAACGCACAGCAGCCTACCCTTTATCCTGCATGTGGGGAAGAAATGGAAGGAGTTGGGAACAGCCACTGTGTCTTCATGTGGAAATGGTAGAGTAAGGGAAACAAATAGTAAATATACAGTCAAGGTTGGTAGAGGAAAAGAATATTCAGCTGTCAAAAGGCAGAATGAATTACTGGTGGCCAAAACATTAAGTGAAATAATAGTTTTTACAAATGTATCAAGGAAGGTGTGTGTGAGGATAGAGAGAGCATGTCTGGCCTTCAATAAATGTGGGGAACTAAACTGAGTCTAAAATCACAGAAATGTTTTTTAAAATGTATCTTTAAGCAAATGACAAGAGAAATATGTCTGTACAGATGTTGATTAAAAGGAAGTTAAAGGAATACTTGCTAATACAAATGGGCATGTTTGTATAATATCTTATGATTCTAGAGTGTCCTGAACCACTGGGAGTTATTTGAAAAATCATGGAGAACAATGGCGGTAACAAGATGAGGGAGGAAGGGGGAAGCAAATGTGGTAGCCAATCTTGTTCGTTACTGTTAAGTCAATGTGCCTAATAAAATTATGTATCTGTCTAAAGTATTTATATTGCATTTATCATATTAAGAAATTAAGCAGCTCTGTATCTGTCTGAAGTACTTACCTGGTCCCCAACACCATAGCATTTGAGTGCCTCACAATTCTTATTTATCTTCACAACACCCCTGTGAGCCAGAGAAGTGCTGTTATCCACATTTTACAAATAAAGGGACTTGTGCATGTAACTGCCTCCTTAGGCACCTAAGTCTAACATTTAAGTGCCACTGACATTCACAAAACCACTGCTGAGCTGCCACCTAACTCTGTAGGGGCTCAAGTCCCCATATATGCCAGCAGGAATGTACAGAGCTGTCTTGCTGCCACACACACACCTCCCCCCACCACCTAATGAGCTGCCGGGAGCAACCACACCTAAGCCTCAGCAGAATTTTCAAATGAGGTTTTTCACCCACATCACCTGTGGGGCCTATCGGGTAGGCGTACTCAGAGCATTACTAGCCCCCACAAAAGAGCTGGGACTGAGCAGGTTGGGAATTTGTGTGTCCCTTCCCAAGTACCCACTAGCCTAGTCATTGGATACTTGCCTGGAGTGAGGGGAGACCCAGATTTGAATCCCCACTCTGCCTGATTTGGAGCAAAGACTTGAATCCAGGTCACCCGAATCCTATGTGAGTGCCCAAACTACCAGCTTCTGAGTATTTGGGATGGATTTCTCTCAGTCTCTCCCGTTGAAGATTGGTATAAATAGTTAACTATTGGAGAAGGAACTTGAACCCAACTCTCCCACAGCCCATGTGAGTACCCTAACCACTGGGCTATAAAATTAGCCTCTTGTGTTTTGTTGCTTCAACAGAAGAGAGTGAGAGATACCCACATCAGAATTCCTCATAATGTGGTCAGCACACTCGCCTGGAATCAGGTAGGCCTGGGTAGGCCTAAGTTCCTCCTCTATAGCAGAGCCGGTAAATACTGTAACCACTGGGATATTGGCTATAATGGGGTGAGAAGGCCAAATCCCAAGTGGAAATAGGTTCCTACCTCCAACCTGTCACTCAGGCACTTAAGGCCTACCTCAATCAGAGTTAGTGCTGAGGTACCTTTGTGGCTCAGGGCCCTCAGCTCCACCCCTTTCTTTCCTCTGCATTTCAGTGCTGGCTAGGTTAGACATCTTGCTGGATTCTGAGCCTCTCCTTCTTAGGCACTGGACTCTACAATGTATAGGGAGCCTGGATGCCTACCTTGGGGCTGTGAATTCTGGAAGATGGCAGAAGACCTAGGACTTAGGTGTTGGCCCACTTTGTGAATCTATCCTTAAGTGACTTGCCCAGGGTCATACAGAGAAAATGTGGCAGAAGAAGGACATGAACCCAGGACTCCCCTGTCCCAGGCTTTTTCCCTGATCACTGAACCAATAGTTCATTTCTGAAAAATAACTTTATAATTTCTAAAACAGTTTATGTAAAATGTGTCATTTAAAGTGTCATTAAAAATGTGTCATTAAATGCATGATGGTATAAAGTTTAAAGTAAAATGTGTCATTTTGTTTAAAGTAAAATGTGTCATGATGGTATAAAGTATAAAGTAAAATGTGTCATTTAAAGTGTCATTAAAAATGTGTCATTAAATGCATGATGGTATAAAGTTTTCAGTGGTGCTAGTTTGGAGGAGCTGCATAATTCACTTTCAGGTTCAGTGTGTGCGAGGAATGCAGCAATTCTGAATTCATGCTGCTTTAGGTAACAGGACAATGAGCAGTAAATATGATGAGTTTCTAAAGAACAAAATCATGGTATAAAATCTGGGTTCTGATCCTTCAGTCCTTAACTGCTGAAAGAGAGTTTGAGGTACACAACTGCAAGAGGTGGCTTTGTTTGCTGCTTTTGTATCAAATCATAAAACAAGTGGGTGCAGTCAGTGAAATATTTCTGGATTTTCATTAAAATTTATTTGAGGAAGAATACTGTCTTGGATATTAGTAGTTACTTGAAGTGAAAGCTGCCTGATGGAGTTTGAATGAAGGATAAAGAAACATAACAATGTACCAAGATGGGAGAAGGCATATGGTGGGCTGCTGCAGTGATCCGTGTTCATTTTATTTAATATCTTTATTAAAAATCTGGAAGAGGGGACAAAATGTGTGATAGTTAAACTTCCTGATAATTGCAAATTAGGAAGTTGTGTTAAGACAGAAATAATACAAAAGGCCCCTGTGATTAGATGTATAGATCCTTATCTTCCCCTCCACTTCCATCCCAAAGGGGACCCTACTTAGGTGGACCATGGAGATGGAAATGCCAGTTCTGTGCCATCATACATCATTCACTGTGATCTTGTGTAAATCCCCCTACTGGAGCTCCAGGGGGATGGGGCTGCATAGAGCTTTGCCCAAAAAAAGGAACACCACAGTCTACATTATCTCATGTTGGAGATGTTGGATGTCCGGTTAGATGGCTGCAGCAAAGTTAATGGTGGCTTGTGCCTGCACCCAGAGTTTTTATTTATTTATTTATTTATTTTGCCAGGTGTCCGGTCAATGGGGAATGTGAGGTGAGAGCTGGAGCACAAACATGTCCAGTCCTTCATGAGAATGGGTTGGGAGGTAACTGCCATAGGATTTCCTCAGCCAATTGTCTTTTTTTTGTGGGAACACTTGCAGGATATAACACCAATATTCAGTGGCAGACATCTATTTAGAAAACGGTAATACTGCAAAGGACCAAGTGGTTGATAGTGGAAAGTAAATTACATGAGACCTGTAGAAAGAATGTAGTATGGTGCTAATAATAAACCAATACAGCTTTGGACTACCTGCTTAGAGGCAGCGTGAAGCTATAGAGGCACAAATCAGGAAGCTGACAGTCTCCTGCCAAATGCTATTGCTAAGAATATACCAACTCTAGAATGCTGCATTCATTCCTGGGCACTTCTTAGTAATGGAAAAATGTTGACAAATTGGCAGCAAATCATCTATCAAGTAACAAGAATGATTGAAGGACTGAAGTGGATGACTTGGGGGAAAAAATAATTTGTCCAAAGCTGCCTGACTGGAATACAATACTGATAATTCTCTACAAGTGTAACCATGAAGAGGGCTTAGAGGTCTGTCTGGGTAGAGCTCGGTGCAGGATCAGTGCCTGTCAAAGGCTAGCTGGCCCTTTAAGGGGGACAGGGGGTCAGCTCAGCTGCACCTGTGATACAGTAACTATTCTCCTGCTGATCCTGACTGGTGGCTTGATTGCAATTATTGGACAGCTGGGAAAGGAAGGCTGACAGAGAGAGAGACTGGGGGGAACGCACCTAGAAGATTGAGAGTTCCCTCTCTTTGAACTAAGTCTGATAGAAGTTAGGTAGCAGGATAACTGGGAGAAAGCTGTAGGAGGGAAGTAGCTTCTGTGGTGGGCCTGGAAATAGGAGTTAGAGTCTAAGAGAGGTAGTCTTGGGACTCCATGTTCAGCTAAGGAATGGCGCCTAAGGGTAATTTAAGAGGGATGAAAAATTGAGCCTAAGGTGGATAGAAGCAGTTTAAGTTCATGGTGTTAGTTGGAATTTGTCGGGAATTCTAGAGTAGACACCCTTCCTTGAAAAAAGGGTGAACCTAGAGTGGCCAGGGAACATGGGAAGGTAGAGACGGTCTGAGGCTGTGAGACAAGGAGTGTAAGGATGACAGAGACCAGAGTCAGAGGCTGAAGACCTAATACAAGGTCACGGAATAATTTATTGGTAGGACTTCCTGTTACCCCTGGAAGGGGAGGGACTATAAGTGACCTGCCTAGAGAGCTGAGTCATGAGAAGAAGTAGGGCTGGAGTGGTGTTTGGCAGGGGGTTCCAGGTGATGAGAGCCTGCTACCCAATCCTGAGCCATGAGGAGGGTCTGCTGATTGGGGAGTCACTCTCCTCCAGTTCCAAAAAGATAAAAATGAGAAAAGCAGTTGCACGTGGAAGCCCAGAGAACAGCCTCATATAAAGAATAGAACACTGTTGCATTACATGTGCCCCAAACCTTCTTTTCTAAAAGTACATTTGTGCAAATGTCTAGGAGCAACAGAAATATTCTGTGACTTTGTTTAATGTCACTGTATTTTTTTAACACTGCAGCGTTTGCAGCCCTAACACAATATTTTGCTAATGTCTGAGAAAATGAACCTGTCTCTTTGCTTTTCGGTCTGGTGTGTGTTTAACACACAAACAAAACATAAAACATAACAGCGTAGATTCTTTATTATCCAAGTGGTGAGAAACACAAAATAAACATGGCATAAACAGTACACTATAAACTTTAATATTCTTCTATTTCAATAGTCCAAAGTGGAGAATTTAATACAGGGAAGGACACTAATATTTTTAAATGATTAACCGGCCTATACTGCCTTAAGGGAAGGAAAATTCAGGCTGACTTACAGTATGGCCAACCCTAAGAGTTTGAAAATCGTGAGTCTGAACCAAAAATTTCCTGAGACTTTCAAAAGGTGAATAAATTATGGGTTTTGGCCTGCTTTCTGGCTTTTGCACACCCCCTTGCCATCTTCAAAGTGTGTATAACAATGGCAGGTTGGAAATTCAAACTGAAATGCATAGAAAATGTATGTGTGCGCTCACATCCTGCTCTCCTGGATTCCACTCTTCTCTAGCCCCCCCACTTCTTAGCGTCTCACTGCCAAACTCCAGCTGCCCCACAATTCCTCCCCTCTAGGCTCCAACAGCTGCCTTCTGGCTCCAGCCTGCAGGTGAGGCTCCTACCTCTATTAACTCCTCCTTCCTGCACTGTAGTGCTATTGGAGGGAAAGGGGGAGTCCGAGGAAGATGCTGCTGAGCTCAATAGAAGGGATGGGTTCACCCTGTTGTGCTGTACCTGCTCTGGAGCTCTGCCCCACTCAGAGAGCACAGCAATACCTCTGTTCTCAGCAGTGACTATAGCTCTAGTCAAAAAGGGAAACTGCAGATGACTCAGGCAAAATTCTTGATCTGTCTGATTGATCAGAATGCAGCCCAAAACTGACACGCACGGTAATGTGAACATTGACGACAGCAGTGTCAGGAAAAGATGGCCAGCCATGAGATCTTACCAGTCTCTGGAGCAACGATCTAAGGGATTTGCTGGAAGCTCCAGGGCCTGTGTCCTTTAAAACAAGGAAAGCTCTGGAAAATATCATGGTATTAAAACTCCAGTGTTGGCAGGAGGATGGACTTCAACTGATACTTCCTGTACAAAAAGATTGGGTAGGGTTTTGATGTCAGTTCTCTGAGATATCAGGCTGTAGCCCTCCACAGCATGTAGGATAAGGTGAAGCTTGATCAGTAGGCTCACGTCCCGAGGTAGCTAAATTCCTAATAGCTGCTAGTAAATTGTATCTTTGACTCTTCTCTAGCTTTTCTATGGGATTTGAACTTCGTATTCAATTCTTTAATATATGCACTTCTTGAATCCTTAATGGAAAGCTTAATTGCCTTAGAACCTATAGCCTGAGTAGGCCTATAGCTTTGGCCAGATGGGTCAGAAAATTACAGTTCCTCTTGTGCAAAAAAAATCTGTTTTTTCAACGAGATGAGAGTAGTTAAAGCAGTGCCAGATTTCTTGCCCAAAGTTGCATTAAAATATCAACTGAAGGGATCATTTCTGATTCCTTGACTAAATCCTGGTCATGAGGAGAAGAGATTCCACTGTATGGTTGCAGTGAGCCATCAGGATTTCCCTAAAAAAAAAAGACTTGATACCCATCTGTTTGGGTGACTTATTTGTCTTCTAAGAGCTCACTCTACAAGAACATTCATGACCTTCTAGGCAAAGAGAGTAGAAGTCTCTCCACTTGAGTTGTCCAGTGTAACCACCATGTCCACTCCATTTACTTTTGTTGAGTACTGGAGACTGCATTTGGTGACAGCTACAGCTTGACATTTCTAAGCAGTACAGCCAGTTAATTATGGTCACCACTGAATACAGATTGAAATCCTATGTGTCTCAGCATGTAAGAGGGCACTGGAAAATGGCAATTTGTGTTCCGCTGATTTGCTTTTTCCAAGTACTCCTTTAGCAGGTACCAGTCCAGATAGCATCTCAAGTCTAGAAGTTCAACAACATAGCTTTAATTGCTATTGCTGCTGTTTTAAAAGTTAATCAAGCTTATTGCTCAGCAAAGCAATGGACCATGAGCCAACTAGTGCCTAATGAAGGGCGAGTGGTGATTGTTTGGGGAAGATCACTTTCATGTTCCTGACTCTGGAATAACTAAAGTAGACAATGAAATCCAATCCAAGTTTCACACAAGACCTTGTGTATGTTGGGGCCAAGAGTGCTGAGAGAGTCATGCAGACTTCTAGCATGGCCAGATGTGAATACAGTAATAAAGCTGCTAACTGCACTGCACAGATTCTTCCTTTTACATATTCCAGTCTAATGTGACCTGTGCTGCAACACAAAATGATCTGGGTCCCCACAAGTTGAAGAAGTTAGCAATGTGGCTATCCCTATGTTAAATATTGTAATTGTTTTATTTCAATAACCATTCACCTCCCATATTTCAGAGGTGGGTTAATTTGGAGGTGAGGAATGTTGGCTTTACTTATTTTAACCCTTTTAATAAACTTTAAACTACAAAAATCTTAAATGTTTTTCTTTCAGTGGCAATATAAAGCTACTAAAGAATGGAATACAGACTAAGTGTTGTGTAGTAGTGTCAATATTGTAGAAACTGTCTCGGTTGCCCTTGGACAAATATCCTTCTCCAGTCTAGTAGAACGGCTCATGATGATCTCTCTTGGGAAGTTCTGTTGGCACTAGTTTCTCTCTACGTTGGCCCATCCAACAAATGGAGCTCTTTGTATACTTCCTGAAAGAGAAGAAACATTTAGCATTCAATCAAATGGTCAAAGTTTGTTCTTCCCTCGTAAATATTTCTACCTCTTTGGCTAGTTCAGTGACACAGAAATAAGTTTTGATTACAGCTGGTCACATAATGCACAATCATTTGCTAGTAATACATTCAACAACTGCTGCAAGGATTTGTTGAGTAGATTTATTCAATAAACAGTTTTTACAGCTTATCACATAAAACATTATTTGCTGAGTTTCAGAGTAGCAGCCGTGTTAGTCTGTATTCGCAAAAAGAAAAGGAGGACTTGTGGCAACTTAGAGACTAACCAATTTATTTGAGCATAGCTTTAAGTGAGCTACAGCTCACTTCATCGGATGCATTCAGTGGAAAATACAGTGGGGAGATTTATATACATAGAGAACATGAAACAATGGGTGTTACCATACACACTGTAACGAGAGTGATCACTTAAGGTGAGCTATTACCAGCAGGAAAGCGAGGGTGGGGGGGAACCTTTTGTAGTGATAATCAAGGTGGGCCTTTTCCAGCAGTTGACAAGAAGTTTGAGGAACAGCGGGGGTGGGAATAAACATGGGGAAATAGTTTTACTTTGTGTATTTTCCACTGTATGCATCCGATGAAGTGAGTTGTAGCTCACGAAAGCTTACGCTCAAATAAATTTGTTAGTCTCTAAGGTGCCACAAGTACTCCTTTTATTATTTGCTGAGTAATGTAGTCAAATGCATTGACTAGACTATTGGGATATCACTCAGAAAGCTTTAGTTTTGACACAGGTTTCCTACAGCTTAATTTCTGTCTGTGTAAGTATTTTAGCTACTTTACTATTTATTCAGAAACATAGACATCTTTGGAGCTTTGAAGAGAAAGACATGGTCCCATGAACTGTGGGAGCATGTTACCCTACTTCTCCACTAGGTGGCAGTTTTGGCTTACCTTTTTTTTTTCTTTTTGAATTGGAATTAGATGGAGAAAGGAAAATACTTTGTTATGCCATGTGTAACAGACACTTGGATGTTGCTAGCTTTGATCTTTGCAATGATTCTTTCTCTTTCTGCAGTTTGTTTAATGATAGAGGAGAATGGTGAGAGCAAAGGAGACTGAGTCCTTAAATCTTGTCCAATAAATATGTATTCCTCAGACTGGTAGTCAGCAACTACCTTATTGTATTCTCAAAGAATTCATTGATTTTTAAGGTCAGAGGGGGTCACTATGATCATCTAGTCTGGCAACAGAATTTCACCTATCAATTCCTACAGTGGAGGGAATTATTCTTTCCTCTATATAAGTGAACATTTTCAAGCCAAATCACTTCTGGTTGAACTACAGAGTATCTTTAGAAAGACATCCATAGAATCATAGAAGATTAGGGTTGAAAGAGAGCTCAGGAGGTCATCTAGTCCAACCCCCTGCTCAAAGCAGGACCACTCCCAACTAAATCATCCCAGCCAGGGCTTTGTCAAGCGGGGCCTTCAAAACCTCTAAGGATGGAGATTCCACCACCTCCCTAGGTAACCCATTCCAGTGCTTCACCACCATCCTAGTGAAATAGTGTTTCCTAATATCCCCCACTGCAATTTGAGATCGTTACTCCTTGTTCTTTCATCTGCCACCAATGAGAACAGCCAAGCTCGTCTTGATTTAAAGACTCCAAGTCATAAAGAATCTCTCTTGATAAGTTTCTCCAATAGCTAATTACCCTCACTGTCAAAAATGTCTTATTTCTTATAAGAATTTTTCTCATTTCAACATCCAGCCAATGGAACTTGTTATATCCTGTCCTTCAAATTAGTAGTACCTAGTGAAGGGGCACACAGCAGCAACAGAGATGGGATAGCAATAGTCTACTCAAATTCAGATAATGGTTGGTTTGATTAGCTAAAAGAATCCTATGGGACCAGGATTTCACCAATAAAGACAATAGCAAAATTCCCATTGACTTCCATTGGGCCAGGATTTTACCCTATGACATCTGTAACATGACCCCATAAGAATTACAGTGGTCAACTATCTTTTTCTGTGATTTCCCTACCCCTTTTTCCATGATGTTGGACTCCTTTGAAGCTGATCTTCATTAAAGCAGCCAGCTGGTGTAGCTAAAGGCTTCTCACCATCAGCGGAGTGAGGCCCTGAAACAGCCTTCCAACTGGAGTAATGGGACAAACAACTGAACTAGTTTTTAAAATGGAGCTTGATAAATTTGTGAACAGGCTTATATGATTGGATTCCCTATGAAGCCTCTGACCCAGGAGGTCCTTTGCAGTCCTGTGCCCTATGTAGGGTTGCAACCCATCTCGAACATGTCAGGAAAGTCCTGAGTTTTACACCTCAGTCCTGTGTATCCCTGTTTCAGGGGACACACACAAAAATTAGCGCACTGTTAAAAGGCATCAGTTAATTTCTGATCAGTGAAGCTTCTACCTAAAGAATGTGGATACAGCATATAAATACTATAGAACTGTAACTTTGTGCCCCTATGGTTCATTGGGGGTTCATTGTTAATATGGAATCACATAGGACCTTCTCTGCTTATGCATTATGGAAGGAAGCAGATGGAACTCCATCAAATAAAGGATGGTCAGAATGGGCCAGGCAGAAGGCTACATGGGAATGAGGATACTTGCACATTTTCCATCTAACTCCACTACTGCTATGCTGGAGTTTGCACTACACAACTGAGTAGGGACATACACAAGACTTCCTGGTAGGTCTTTTTTGGTGAGATTTCCCCAACAGAGCTGCAGACCTGAGCAATTTGGAAGGTTCTTTCAGATCAAAATTTGTGTGTGCTTAAAACTCATCTGAACCTCTGAAGCTTTGAGGTCCTCCCCATCATTAAAGGACAGATTCACTAGTGCACTCTTCCTCTTTTGTTCTGATACAAAGCAGCTGGAGTGTACTGGGAGAATCTGAACTCTAGTTTAGATACTCTTACTGTTTACTTATTCATCACAATGAAGTTGATAGTAGGAGACTGTAAATCCTCTTTTGGGGCCTGGTCCTTCACCATTGAGGGGTTTGCCATTGACTTTAGTGAATGAACGAACCCTCAAGGAGTTTGATCTTGCAAGCAAACCCAAAGTAACTTTCTATTTATTAATCTGGCAGTAAAAGGCCACAAGTTAATTGGGAGTGTGGTGGGGATGCAAATACACTTGATACTTACTGTTTAGCTAGTTCCATGGATATTTGCTCTAAAGAGGATCCCTTTGTCTCTGGTATAAACACAATGATGAAAGCCAGTGATGCTAGACTCGTTATTGAGTAAATGAAACACACCCATGGCAGACCAATTAGGTCTATAAAAGAAAAAATATGTTTTGTTAGTATTACAAAAGGGTTTTTTAAGGCAGTCCCATTGAAATCAGGGTTGACAGCATTGAGCCCTCGTATCTGTAAGTAATTGTTATGTCACAAGGAAAACTTATATTTTTAATTGTGCCTGGTGCAGGGGTTCTGGAATAATGTGTATAGTGGGGGTGCTGAGAGCCATCGAACCCAACTATAAACCTTGCATATAATGGAAGGAAACCACTTCAAGTCAGGGGATGTGGCAGCATCCCCAGGACCCCTAGTTCTAGCCTTGTGCAAGCAAACTAAGAAATCACAAATAGAATTCAGCAATGCTTGACTACTGGCTTGACTTTTAACTACTATCCCCCGATAGCAGGTCTGGTAACCACTGGTGCTGGTCTGAAAGTTCAGAGGCTCTTTGAAATTCCTCCAACATGTATTTTTGATGTGAACATTTTATGAAGCAAAAAAAACATATTTCACACAGTTGTAGTTGCCAGCTCTAACTAATCCTTTCATGCTGGCAGTTTCCAGTACTTCCACTGCTGACAGTCCACTCTGTGCCAGTAATGGATCTAGGAGTTAACTCCTGTTGGTTCCAGTGAATAACCAGGTTTTGAAAATACATTTGGAACAATGGAGAATACAAGAGATCAGAGTCACAATCTCCTAGCATCTGTCAATTTGTGTCATGAGCTGAAAGTTAAGGCTGATGCTCTGGGCTGTATTGTACGCTCAGATATGCAAGTACAACTCCTGTTTGATTCAATGGAACCTGACAGGTTTCAGAGTAACAGCCGTGTTAGTCTGTATTCGCAAAAAGAAAAGGAGTACTTGTGGCACCTTAGAGACTAACCAATTTATTTGAGCATGAGCTTTCGTGAGCTATGGCTCACTTCATCGGATGCATACCGTGGAAACTGCAGCAGACTTTATATACACACAGAGATCATGAAACAATACCTCCTCCCACCCCACTGTCCTGCTGGTAATAGCTTATCTAAAGTGATCATCAAGTTGGGCCATTTCCAGCACAAATCCAGGTTTTCTCACCCTCCACCCCCCCACACACAAACTCACTCTCCTGCTGGTAATAGCCCATGGCAACTCACCTGGTAATAGCCCATGGGCCCATGGGCTATTACCAGCAGGAGAGTGAATTTGTGTGTGGGGGGGTGGAGGGTGAGAAAACCTGGATTTGTGCTGGAAATGGCCCAACTTGATGATCACTTTAGATAAGCTATTACCAGCAGGACAGTGGGGTGGGAGGAGGTATTGTTTCATGATCTCTGTGTGTATATAAAGTCTGCTGCAGTTTCCAAGGTATGCATCCGATGAAGTGAGCCATAGCTCACGAAAGCTCATGCTCAAATAAATTGGTTAGTCTCTAAGGTGTCACAAGTACTCCTTTTCTTAATGGAACCTGAATGCACCTTCAGTCTTTTGCCTGAAGACTAACAGCCAAATTTTGCCTGCCTGTGTAAATCCAGACTAACTCCACTTTTGCTAGTCAAATTCTTGTGGATTTACACTCATTTAACTGAACAGAATTTGGCCTGAAATTTTTCTTGAGTTTTAACCAAGGAAAAGCAGACTATTTTTCCTTACCCTGTTTTAAGTCTGGATCGTACCTCTTCTTGATAACCTAATCTCAGCACTCTATCTAACATTACTGAACTCTACCAGACCTGCAGCAAGTTCCAAGATAATCAGCTGAGAGCTGACTCTGCTTCTGCTGAACTCTAGTAGAGCTGGTTGAAACTCTGTTCTGCAGGAAATTCTGACATTTGGAAATTTGTTTTTGTTTGAAATGGTCTAAAACCAAAACATTTCTAAACTTCTGGTGAAATAAAGTTCTGGAAATAAACTGTTTGAGGTTGATCAAATCATTCTTATTTTGTTACATTATAATTTATAAACAGTCTTTTATTTTTCAAAACAAAAAAACATAGCATTTCATTCTGATAAGGTTGAAACAATGTTTCAGCCTTATCAAAACACTTTTTTCCATTTTTTCTCTAAACAGAACTTCATCAAAATTGAAAGTTGGCAGGAATGTGTAAATTTTGGTTAAATGGAAAAACATTTCACTGGAAAATTTTCAACCAGCACTACCCTAGAGTAAAACTTCCATTAACTTCAAAGGAAACAGGACTGAGTCCTAACTGTTATTTGTATAGCTTATTAGTGAAGAGGTCTTTGATAGCCCGAGTAAGAGACCTGTGGCCAGATTCAGAGGTAGTACAAACTAGTCTCTTAATCTGAATCCATTATGCTTCCTCAGGCATATTTACCCCCTACTTACTGGCGTGTGAGCAGAAGGCAGTCAGGACTGCAGATGAAGTCTAAACTGATCTAGTGTACTCTCTGTGGGGTCTGGAACACCCACCAGCAAATCACCTCTGAATTTGACCCTTGCATTTTATTTCTAACATTTAAGAGATTGTTATGTTGTCCATATGGGAAAGATTCATTATGCCTGTGATGCAGAGGTGCATTGGCAGTTCACTACTGCATCAGCAACTCTTGTCAGGCCTGAAAAACTCACTACACCTCACACATTGCTGTCATAGTGTTTATCTGTAAAGAATGTTGTGTGAGATATCAAATGAAAGCTGGTGATACACTGGTCATTAATATCATTGTGAAACATTAACACTGTGTATTAACTGTGTATAGGAGGAATTATGGATACTTACTGATATTAAGCTTTAAAATCTGTAACCAAAGGGTGAAACAGGTTTTCTTCCAGACAAGAGGGAGAACAGTTATCTCCCTCTTTCTGATATAAATTGAGCATTGTGATGCCAGAAACATTGGACAGTTCATTTTGTGTTGGAGGTAAACAGAAGGAGCAAATTAACATGAGGATGAGAAATCAGCATAGGAAGACACTGGAGTCTGATCCCCAGGGGTTCATCCTGACTAGTGAAAAGGACCAACTTTGGGGAATATAAGGAGAAGCAAAAATAAGCTTTGGTTATCCATCACTGAGGGGACAAAGAGGTCAGTGCTCTTTGTAACCATGAATGGTGGATCCATGAATGGTGGGTTGGTGTCACTAAGAAATGGCTGTAGTTGAGAAGTCTGCCTTAGACAAGGATTGAAGTCCATTAAGTTTGTCACTAGAAAGTGTGATAATACTTTTGTTTTATTTGTAACCATTGTCTGTGTATTATCTCTGCTTAGTATCACCTAAATTTCTGTTGTTGGTTAATAAACTTCTCTGTTTCATCGTAAGTACATCTCAGTGCAGTTGTGATAAGTAGAGTGTGAATTCCTGGTTAAATCAAGCCTCTTTAGAGCCAGTGCACTTGGTAATTTCTGTGAGCGTCCAGTGACGGGTTAGATGCTGAAGGGAGATGCTTCTGGAGTATTCAGGAACTGAAGAGCACCAAGGGTTAACCTGCAAGGCAAAGTTAGGACTGGCAGAGTCCTGAGGGATCTGTGGGGCTGGCTAACCAACTGGAGTGGCAGGAAATTGTCACTCGGTTTAACATCAACAGTTCCCTTTTATGATGAGAGACAGGGCTAACAGGATGACATACAGTGCTAGACACCCTGAGAATGCGTCACAATGCCCGGTAATGGGCATATACACTCAAGAAGAAACAAAGAATTCTTACCAGTTACAGTCAAAAATGTCAAGGAGATGAGGAGATTTATACCCCAGTTCAGGCTAGAGGTTAAAGCCATGGCCCGTCCTCTGATCCCACCAGGGAAAATTTCACTCAGCACTAGCCAGGTCACTGAAAGGAAGGGGAAAAAAGACATTATTCTTGGAAGGACGCCTGGGTGCCTAAAATTAGGGACATAAATCCACAATTAGGCACCTGAATGAGTGACCTGATTTTGTTTTGTGGTGCTGAACACCAGCAGCTCCCACTGGACCAAGGCCTGAACTCCAAGCTGTGTGTGGTACCTTAGTCATGTGACTCACATTCAGTCAATAAAATGCCTGTCAACTGCTGTACTATAGGGTTTTCAGGGACAACCCAACACTAGAACAATGTTTTCCTGCTTCAAGCGTGTGCATAACACTACATGTCTGAAAAGTGTGAGGCAAGGTTTGACAGTGCTATCCCTACACAGCTGAATGTGAAAGAGGGAAATGACTAAACCTCTCTCTCAGAATACAGGTTAACGTATGTGGAGGCAGCGAGACAGAGTACTCGTTGGTTTGTGAGCAGCACTGCATGTTATGTTGAATTATGAATACCTGCCAAAAATACAGCAAGTTTGCTATTCCAGCCATATGCTATATATGTAAGTTTTCTTTCCTCTTGAGGTAAAGGTAGATATGATATATATCTAGATATGATATATTTCTATTCTTGTTTTATGAGTGTCTTGCCTTTGTCTTATATATAATATTATATCACTCTAATATCCATGTACACATAAAGCTAAATTCTGACTTCATTTACACACAGTGATTTTAATTGGATTGCACAGGTGGAACTGAAGACAGAGTCCTGATCTTTGGCTGTGCTGTGGCTGCTTTATGCTTCATACCACTAGTGCAAAGTGATCCAAAAACTGGTTTAGCCAGACACAAGAGGAGAACCCCAGTGAACCCTAAGCCCACCTGTCCCAAGTAAGACTACTAGGCCTTTCCTGTGCCTTGACAAATCATTGTTGTCATAGCAGATCCTTTAGGTGATTGGCAGCAGAGCATAACTTAGATCAGCCGGAGGATGGTGATAGCTTATGCAGGAGGAGCGGACAACACCAGGAGAGCACACAGGTGGGGCACAGGCATCTAAAGGTTTTTGGTCACAGCCATGACTCTGGACCAGAACTGGGCCCTTAATGATTTTCTTTCTGTAGAACACTAAATGCTTGTTTCCTGTTCACTTACACTAAAATCACTGAAAATTACAATTTTAACATAGAACATTGGCAGTGCTTCCCATTGGGCCGTACGCCACACCAAGTATGACTAAAGGGTTCCTGTTTGGCAGGGGCAGAACTCATTATACCACGGCAGTGACAAAGGTGGGGAAAAGAGAGGCATTTTTGGGAGGAAAATGTGGTTAACCTGTACTTTGCTGGCTCCAAGTGGTTGGATTTAGTATCCAGGAGAAGTAGAGAAATATAAGCCACTCCTCTTGTCTTTGTAGTTTAAGGAATAACTCCACTGCCACTTGTGACGTGTTGGTCAGAGCGAGCAGCGTGCTGATCAACAGTTCGGGATCCATTCCTGCAGCTGAAGAGGCAGGCGCGCAGGACACAAACCGTTGAAAGATGGTGCCAAATGCGGACAGAAGCACAGGGATTGCTGGGATGTGAAGCAATGCATCATGGGGCATTGGGACAGGACACAGGATGCCCCACAACCCCCCTCTGCCTTCCCACAAGTCTTAGCGGCAGAAGAGAAACAGGTGCTCTGTGGGACAGCTGCCCAGAGCGCACCGCTCCAAATACCGCTGCAAGTGTGAACACGCTATTGCACAGGCAGCTGTCCGTGTGAACACACAACAGTGGTTTCCCTTCAGTGCTCTCTGAGCAGGGCTGTAACTGCTGGTGCTGTAACTCTGCCAGTGTAGACGTGCCCTAATATGTTCTGTCCATCTTTTCCCCTAATCTGAATAGTAAATAATGAACGATTCTTGGCTTTTGACACCTCTCTGGAATCGCTATCACCATTTGTCCTTTTGCCAAGAAGCAGCAGCTGCAGGAGGCACAAAGGGGCTGCATTTTCCTCTTGGGATACCAGTAACTAGGTGTCAGCTTCTGTTTGTCGTCATAATTAATACTGAGAGCGGTGACTCTAGTCCCCATGCAAAGCTCTGAAAATCTAACCTGCCTATCTCTAAAGCCACTTCTGCAGAGTAACTGACTGCTTCACCTACACTCGCTTCGGCAGATATGTTCAGCACTGTAACAATAAGCCCAAACCTCAACTCTGCGTCAGAAAATAATGCCCCTCTCCCACCACGTACAGCATTCCAGCATTGTTTCAAGTGTGCATTGTAGTAATAATCGCACAGCATACATCTGGACAGTCCTTGGGTGGTGTACATTCTGCAGAGAGCACAAAGCTGTGGTTTTTCAACTTGAGTGTGAGCCGAGGAGTAACAGTAAGAATAGGGGGTGCATCGACATTGAAGCTGAAGGTGTAATTTCCAGGTAGGGGAGAGACACATCTGCTAGCTTTGATTGAGCTAACATGCTAAAAATAGCAGTGTAGCTGAGTGGTGCAGGTGAGGAGAGGGGCTAGCTGCCCTGAGTACAGTCCCAGCCAGGATCCTAGGCACTTACTTGGGTGACTAGTCCATCCCATCACCTGTGCTGCCATGGCTCTGCTGCTATTTTTTGCGCACTAGTGCGATCAAAGGTAGCACATGTACGTTTACCTGTGGTGGGAACTGTGCCTTCAGCTTGACTGTTGATGCAGCCTAAGCGTGAGCCTCTGAGCTGAGGGCTAAGCCCTGTGCCTATTGAAGTCAAAGGGAAAGTCTCTCATGGATTTCAGATGAGCTTTGGGTGAGGCCTAAGTGAAAATATGCCTCAGCCCCTGTGTGTTCTCTCACTTACACTCAAGCGTGGAGTGCAAAACAAAACAAAACAAAAACAAACCACACCAAACAAAACCACACACCAGGGGCAGGGTGTGGTAAAAATGAGCATATCTGAAGAATTACATGGCTTTAAGTGTGATCCTCAATCTGCAAATGAGGCACATGACTAAGTCCCCTCTCTGACCTCACTCCTGCTAGTACGCAGAGTGGCTGCACAGCCGTGCTTTCAACGTGAAATTGGACTTGTGCATTCAGCTCATGTCTTCCCTTCCTGCACCTGTGTTGTGCAGAATCAAGTCCTTGATGGACAGAATTAAAAAGAAGAGTACTTGAAAGAATTCAGGGTTTTAGCAGCATAAATTGTGAGAAGAGATTAGGCGGATTTACAGTTTAGAAATGAAAGAGTAGAGGTATGCAAGACTGAAAGGAATGGAATGGTCTGTTAGCAACAAGAGGTCCAAACTGAAGATAAGAAGGGGATTATCCCATAAGCAATGTCAGCAGAATATCTGTAGGCAAAGGGTGCTTAGAGACGCAACAAACTTTCAAAGTCAAGGAGAGAAATAAGTGAGCAAATAAAACAGCAGGCACGACACTGAAACTGTGCAGAGAAGCAATGAATCAGAGGGTGCAGCTAATGAATGAAGTTTGCTCTGAGGGCAAACTCTCCTTAGGTCTTTCTCCAGCTGGACTCCTGGCTCTAAGCATTTCCAAAGAGTTAGATGATAAAGTACTTTGCAGCGAAGGACATCTCCACATTTTGCTAAACTACCTGGGGCCAGATGCTTCTCTGCTTACTCTCAAAAAATAGTATGCTATTTCACAGGAATTTCCACCGATTTCAATGGGACTTCTTGCAGAGTAAGATACAGGCCTTTGGAGTACATATAATGGGGTCTAGACTGAACATGTAGCTCTGTGACTCTGAGGGCCTGTCTACATGAGGAGATATACTGGTATTATACCTCTACAGTTATGCCACTTTAGCTCCCTGTGCAGACACTCTTAGCCCTGGTCTACACTAGGACTTTAGGTCGAATTTAGCAGCGTTAAATCGATGTAAACCTGCACCCGTCCACACGATGAAGCCCTTTATTTCAACTTAAAGGGCTCTTAAAATCGATTTCCTTACTCCACCCCTGACAAGTGGATTAGCGCTTAAATCGGCCTTGCCGGGTCGAATTTGGGGTACTGTGGTCACAATTCGACGGTATTGGCCTCCGGGAGCTATCCCAGAGTGCTCCATTGTGACCGCTCTGGACAGCACTCTCAACTCAGATGCACTGGCCAGGTAGACAGGAAAAGAACCGCAAACTTTTTAATCTCATTTCCTGTTTGGCCAGCGTGGCAAGCTGCAGGTGACCATGCAGAGCTCATCAGCAGAGGTGACCATGGTGGAGTCCCAGAAACGCAAAAGAGCTCCAGCATGGACTGAATGGGAGATACGGGATCTGATCGCTGTATGGGGAGAGGAATCCGTGCTATCAGAACTCCGTTCCAGTTTTCGAAATGCCAAAACATTTGTCAAAATCTCCCAGGGCATGAAGGACAGAGGCCATAACAGGGACGCGAAGCAGTGCCATGTGAAACTTAAGGAGCTGAGGCAAGCCTACCAGAAAACCAGAGAGGCGAACGGCCGCTCCGGGTCAGAGCCCCGAACATACCGCTTCTATGATGAGCTACATGCCATTTTAGGGGGTTCAGCCACCACTACCCCAGCCGTGTTGTTTGACTCCTTCAATGGAGATGGAGGTAACAAAGACGCAGGTTTTGGGGACGAAGAAGATGATGATGATAATGATGAGGTTGTAGATAGCTCACAGCAAGCAAGCGGAGAAACCGGTTTTCCCGACAGCCAGGAACTGTTTCTTACCCTGGACCTGGAGCCAGTACCCCCCGAACCCACCCAAGGCTGCTTCCTGGACCCGGCAGTCGAAGAAGGGACCTCCGGTGAGTGTACCTTTTAAAATACTATACATGGTTTAAAAGCAAGTATGTGAAAGGATTACTTTGCCCTGGCATTCGCGGCTCTCCTGGATGTACTCCCAAAGCCTTTGCAAAAGGTTTCTGGGGAGGGCAGCCTTATTGCATCCTCCATGGTAGGACACTTTACCACTCCAGGCCAGTAACACGTACTCGGGAATCATTGTACAACAAAGCATTGCAGTGTATGTTTGCTGGCGTTCAAACAACATCCGTTCTTTATCTCTCTGTGTTATCCTCAG